TCCCCGAGCACGCCGCCCCCGCTCTAATTCTCCTTCCCTCCCAGGCTTGCGGCACCAAACAGCTGATTGGCGCCGCAAGCCTGGGAGGCGGGAGAAGTGGAGCGGCTGCTGCGCTGGGAGAGGGAGTCTGAGCCGCATGTGTCAGCGCGCCGCCGGCAGCCCAGCCCAGAAACGCTGTAAAAAAAAATTGGGGGCACCGCTTTTTAGCGCCCCCAAATCTTGGCGCCCTAAGCAACCACCTAGTTTGCCTTAATGGTAGCACCGGCCCTGTGTTTACTCAAGCTGGGAATCCACACTCCCAGCTCCAAGTGTAGATGCAGTCACAGTTTCTGTTACAGTGAGGATAAACAGATTAACTAAACCAATTTGTTAAAAAACAACATGTTTAGCTAAACTAGCGCAACTTTGTGTTTAGACAAGGCCTTATATGTCATAAGAATAGAAGAATCCACCCATCTGAGCACCGTTTGTATATTTGTATATTTTTGTATATTTTTCCAAACTGAGCTCTGTGCTTTGACTTAAATGCAGCCTCTTGGTCATCTCATCCAGAGTATTAGAATTATTAAGGGATCTATCTTTCTCACATTATTGCTTATTATGGATCAAATAGGAAATGACAACTTATTTAGTGCTTCAGGTTCAATTGACACCATTGCCTCCTGAAATTGGTTCTTCTGTGTGTCCCCAAATTAGATATTAAACTGTCAAAGAAATGGGGAATAGTCCTGTTACACTATTTACTGTCTTTGGCAGGCTATTTTTTCTTAAATATGCCCACCATTGTAGCATCTAAGCACATTATACACATTAAGTGCAATAATACATTAAACTGCCTAAAACAGACATAATAAACAAACTGTAGGTAATTACCAACAAACTGTAGGTAATACAGTGATGATCCCTAACCAACCAAATGCTTAGCTTAAAATTAACACCTTACCCCATGCTCTGAAAATCTATCAGGAAAGTAAGCTGCAAAGTGAAGTACCTTCCCAATGTATATGCTTTACCTCCATTTTTCTACACACCTTCAAACCTACATATTAGGGACTATTAGCTGAAATCAGCAGAGGTGCTTTTGCAATAGTGAACAGCGAAAGAGGCAGTACTTAAGGTACCCACATACTGTACTAGACCATGGATTGATGATATGAAGTTGTTGGTCTGAGAAGTGCTGCATCATAAATGATCCTCTGTCTATGCGCTTGTCTTCACTACCCGCCTGGATCGGCGGGTAGAAATCGATCTCTCGGGGATCGAATTATCGCGTCTTGTTGGGACGCGACAATCGATCCCCAAATCGACGCGCGTACTCCACCAGCCCTGGTAAGAGTAAGCGCTGTCGACGGGGGAGCCATGGCGGTCGATTTGCCGCCGTCCTCACAGCAGGGTAAGTCGGATCGGATACATCGAATTCAGCCACGCTATTTGCGTAGCTGAATTTGCGTATCTTAAAAATCGATTTCTCTCCCCCCACCCTCCCCCAGTGTAGACCTAGCCTAAGTGAATTCCACCACTACTTGCAAGGGGCCGTGTCACATCTTCACTTCTCTCTTGTGATACTGCTGCTTCTCCTGGTCTGCCCTCTCTTGCTTCTAGTCTACAAGTTGTTAGGCTTCCAAGCAAAGTTTGTCTCTCTCCCACTACAACCTCTTCTCTTCTATGTGTAGACTTTTCCATGAAAGCCACCGAAGTCTGGATGAAACACAATTGTTGCTGACTCTGTCATCCTCTTCCCTGCTTCCTTCTAGCAAGTAGTCTCTAAGATTTCCGCCACCCACTGGATTCTCTGCAAGTAATCTGAGTGTCCAGTGTGGTCCTGGACCTTCATTTCTTTTCTGGCCCTAAGAGTATAACAGGTCAATTAGCCATGCCTTTGTCAGCTCCTGTGACTTTAGCTGTCTGCATATCTGAGCCAGCGGGCTTTTCTTTAGCTGCTCATAACTCATCTTTCTTGACTGTCTCTTTTCACTATTCTTTTCCCCAAAACACTACCCAGACACTTTTCTCTGTGCTTTTTCCTTCTACAGTACTTGATTTCACTGCTGTTAGCACTTATTGACAATTCACCACTATCATAGGTGACACACACTTACACCTTATCCCTATTTTAGATCAAATAAAATTTCTCTATTTTAGATAAAACAGCTTACCCTACAGGGCTCTCCCTCCAAAGTAGCTTTAAAGTCTGTTTACAAATCTACCTAAGATATTAGAATATCTGGAAATTAGTAAATTCTGCAAGGAGATACTATTTATTCTTTTTAACCACACACTGTAGATTAGATTATTTCCTAATATTTCAAATTAAAATAGGTGCAATATTAAATACTTAGGTAGGCACAACTGAAATAACTGATCTTGCTATATTGCCCACCACCTTGTCACAGAAGCCACCAGGAAACATTAAGTGATGGTGACTGAACTCAACTTTTAAAGAGCTTGCAAGGCTTGACTCTCCCATCTTGAACCTTGTGTAGTCACTTATACCTATGTAAAGTGAGAGGAAAGTGGGTGTAAAATCCAAGCATTTTGATTTCTTAGCATTTTACAATTTAATCCCTTTGCACAGGTGTAAGTAACTGTATAAGTGCAAGGCAATGGACATCCTCTTGGACCCAAGACCTGGAGTTGCCTTTGACTAGCTAGTTGTCGAGATACAGCTAGATCTGGATACCCCGACGCCTGAGGTAAGCAGCCACCACCGACATGCACTTGGTAAACACTCTTGGTGCTATCTCCAGGCCAAACGGGAGGACCGCAAACTGGTAGTGTTGGGGGCCCACTGTAAACTGGAAGAAGAGCCTGTGACCTTGAAAGATCGCTATGTGGAAGCATGTGTCCTTCAAGTCAAGAACGGCATACCAGTCTCCCGGATCCAGGGAGGGGATGTTAGAAGCCAAGGAGACCATGCAGAACTTTAACTTCTTTAGATACTTGTTGAGGTCCCTTAGGTCCAGGATGGGCTGCAGACTGCCCTTGGCCTTTGGGATTAAGAAGTACGGGAATAGAACCTCTAGTTCCTGTACTCAAGAGGAACTTCTTTCATTGCACCCAATTGCAGTAACCCCTTTACCTCCTGCGCAAGGAGACTCTCATGAGAAGGATCCCTGAAGAGGGATGGGAAAGGGGGGTGGGGAAGATAGAAATAAACTGTAGGGTATAACCGTCCATCACAGTATTGAGGACCCAGCAGTTTTAAGTTATAGTGGTCCATGCAGGGAGGAAAAAAGAAAGGCAGTTGGAGAACAGTGGGACAGACGGATCCGGGGGTATAATCTGGTAGGTCATCCTTGAGCGCACCCTAAAAACGCTTGCTTGCCCCCCTGCTTATTGCGGGTCAAGTTCGACTGGGCAGAGGGTGGAAGTGGGTGGCTCTGGCAGCGCTTGTAGCCCCTATTCTTATGGGAGGGGCTCCTGGTAAGGTTGACGCCCTTGTCCCTGAGATTGCTGCGGTTTAGAATCGCTTACGGGCTGGACCGGGAACGTACACCCCAGAGTTTTCAAGTAGTGCGGGAGTCCTTAAGGCCATGCAATTTACTGTCCATCTGCTCTGCCAACAGGGCCTAGAGGAAGGGGAAGGGGAGGTCCTGCATCGATTGCTGAGCCTCCGTTGACAGACCCAAGAGAAGCAGTCAAGACGCCCTTCGCATGGAGATGGCCACGGCCATGGTGCGAGCCGGAGAGTCTGCTGCATCTGAGGCTGCTTGAAGGGTCGCTCTTGCTGCAGCCGTGCCCTCTTCGAGGATCGCCCAGAATTCCTTCCTGGACGTTTCGGGCTGCGAGACCTTGAATTTGGCCATAGATTGCCACATATTGTAGTCATAGCGGCGAAGGAGGGTTTGGTGGTTGGCCACTCTCTACTTACGGCTGGAAGATGAATAAATATTTTGCCCAAACAGATCCAGTCTCTTCAAGTCTTTATTCTTGGGCATAGCCCCTGCCTCTCCCTCTGGTTAATGGCCTCCACTATGAGAGACTTTGGGACCGGGTGAGTATAGAGATACTCATAGCCTTTAGCTGGCACAAAATATTTGCACTCAGCCCTTTTTGAGATGGGTGGCAGGGAGGAGGGGGTTTGCCATAGGGCATTAATTATTTTCGATACCCCCTCATGTACGGGTAAAGCCACTGTAACGGATGCCGTGGAGCAAAGGACATCGAACAGTAAGTCCAACGGCTCCTCAATTTCCTTTGCCTGGAGCCCCAGGTTAGAAGCGACCCTCTTCAAAAGCTCCTGATGAGCCATGGCGTCATCTTGCAGAACTGGATGAGGGGGACCCGTAATCGCTTCATCCGGCAACGATGAGGATGAAGCCAGTGCTGAGGGATCCACCACATCCCTTGGTGATCCAATTGGCTGTTCCCCTAGGTCGTCACGGGACTGGGGGGGTCCTTCCCTGTGCGGCCTCCACCTCCGGAGGAGGGCGGGATGCTGTGGCTGATGGCCTGAGGCCCCCCGCCACTGATTGGGTGGCCTGGGAAGGCTCAGTGAACCCCCATGGATTCCAGGGGTGCCACACTGCCAGCCATTGGCCTGAACACAGTTGTCATGCCGATGAGGTTGACGGTACCACTGGTGCCAGGGTTTGTCCTGCTACCAGAGACTGGAGTCGTAAGCGGAGCAGACGCTGTGGAGTGACCATGACCGGCTGGCCTGCTGGCCCTCCTCCCCACGGTGCCAGCCACTGTGCCTCGATGTCAACCTGTCCAATCGGGACGAGTTTCTCCCATGGGACCAGCGTATCTGAGTCCTGGTTGATCGCAGGATGACTATGAGTCGGCAATGTAACGTGGCCGTGAAAAAAGCTAATGCGGTCTTGGGATGCATTAGGCGAGGTATTTCTAGTAGGGATAAGGAGGTGCTGGTTCCGTTATACAAGGCACTGGTGAGACCTCATTTGGAGTACTGTGTGCAGTTCTGGTCTCCCATGTTTAAAAAGGGTGAAATCAAACTGGAACGGGTACAGAGAAGGGCCACTAGGATGATCCGAGGAATGGAAAATCTGTCATATGAAAGGAGACTCAAGGAGCTCGGTTTGTTTACCTTAACCAAAAGAAGGCTGAGGGGAGATATGATTGCTCTCTTTAAATATATCAGAGGGATAAATACCAGGGAGGGAGAGGAATTATTTCAGCTCAGTACTAATGTGCACACGAGAACGAATGGATATAAACTGGCCGTCGGGAAGTTTAGGCTTGAAATTAGATGAAGGTTTCTAACCATCAGAGGGGTGAAGTTTTGGAACAGCCTTCCGAGGGAAACAATGGGGGCAAAAGACCTCTCTGGCTTTAAGATTAAGCTTGATAAGTTTATGGAGGGGATGGTTTGATGGGATAAAGTGATTTTAGTCAATAGGTCAATAACGTGCCATCGCTAGTAATTAGCAACAATGGTCAATGATGGGATATTAAAAGTTACTACAGAGAACTTTTTCCGGAGGGTCTGGCTAGAGAATCTTGCCCGCATGCTCGGGATTCAGCTGATCACCATATTTGGGGTCGGGAAGGAATTTTCCTCCAGGGTAGATTGGCAGAGGCCCTGGAGGTTTTTCGCCTTCCTCCACAGCATGGGGCAGGGGTCGCTTGCTGGAGGATTCTCAGCGATTTGAAGTCTTTAAATCATGATTTGGGGACTTCAACAGCTGAGTCAAGGGAGAGAATTCTTCCAGGAGTGGGTGGGTCAGCTTTTGTGGCCCGCATCATGCGGGAGGTCAGACTAGATGATCATAATGGTCCCTTCTGACCTTAGAGTCTATGAGTATCTGCATCGGTAGACCGACAATCTACACCTCACGCTGCTTGACCTGTACCGGGATCTAGAGCGGGACTGGGAGTCAGAGTGGCCTGGTTGTCGGTAGAATCTCCCCAATTGAGGGGATTTGCGTCTCGGCAACGGGTGCTGGCGGGTGGGTGACCAGTGACCCCGTTCCGCCAATCGGTCGCAGGACTGGTACCAAGGCGTTGGAGACACGGTGGGTCAGTCTCAATGTTCATGCTGGGGGGCGCTTGCCTCTGCAGGTCTGCGCCAGGTTACCAGCGAGCCACGCCCCGAATCCCGCTGCCAGTGCCCAGGGTCCGGAGACCGAAGAGGGCTTCTCTGAGCCTGCCTCCCAAAGTCCGAAGCATGATGGCTCCATGCGGGCGAGCGCTGGCGGGACGTCCCCCACGATGGGGAGCAGCGTTGCTGAGGCGGGGACACTCGGAACGGTCCCAAGGCGGGTTTACCCCAAGCTTGGGTACCGCCGGAGCTGGTGTGGGCGGCACAGGTAGTGTCAGGATCTCCTGCACTGTCTGCAGGGCCTCGGGCGTCGACGGGACTTCGAGTTGACGGGGGCCCTCATCACTGTCTGGTGTGGCAGGCATAGTATGGGAGGGGCTCGGCCGCTCAACATGAGCTGGGGCCCGACTCCCTCATGCTGAGCTGCCCAGCACTGGTCTTGGTTCTCCTCCGGCCCTCTCCTTTCCCTTATGGGAAGTGGGAGATCTTCCTCTTGCTGACTTCTTGGACTTCTTGGCCGGGGAGGGGGATCGGTGATAGCTCACAGAGAGCACCAGCGGGGCACTCCATACCTATGCTGCAGTGCTCAGGGCTGAGTCGGACCTCTGCTCCAGTGCAGGAGTCAGTGCCAACTCCATCAGGAGTGCCCTGAGACAGATATGTGTCTCCTTTTTTGTTCTGAGTTTGAATGACTTACAGATGCAACACTTGTCGCTTATGTGCCCTTCTCCTAGACACCGTAAACAGCTAACGTGCCGGTCGCTGATGGGCATGGGTCAGTTACAACGATGGCATGGGTTTAAAGCCTGGGGACCGGGGCATGCCCCATCCCTAGGCTGAGTCCCATCCGGGACCAGCTAACTAGAACTAACACTTAGCGTAAATAGTAAACTATAAACAACTATTTTACAACGAAACATTCGTGAGACATACTGAACTAAGTGAAAGCTAGCCGAAGCAGCAGAAGTTCCAGCACCATCACTGGCGGCAAGAAGGAACTGAGGGTGGGGGGTGCCAGTCATGCCCCTGTGGCCATGTGGGCGCCATTCCAAAGTCCGGTCCCCTATGGATACTGCTAAGGGGAAAACTTCTGACACTGGTGCATTTGGCACTATTAAGAAGGGCAGTGCTGGATGAGTATAAAAATACTCACAACCCTTTGATGGGACGTGGTATCTCCATACACCTAATATGGAATGGACATAAGCAAGCACTCAAAGAAGAATGCTCAGTTTCCAAATGTAACAAATGTACCGATGCCAAGGAAAGTTCTCGTCCCAGTTCTTGTGGGGAAGGAACAGTCAGTACCTGGACCTCATCCTGCATCAGAGGTGAGTTGGCATCCACAGGCACAAAAGATCCCTGACTGCCGCATATGCCTCAGGCGTAGTCGGTACCAATGTAGCAGTATGCATCACACAGAAAAATCGATGCCATTCTACGTCCCAGCACTAGAGTCAGTCTCAATGGTACTTCATGAGGTGCCGAGTTAATGATTCTACGTTGGTACTCTAGAATATGGTACCAGAAAGCGCTTGGCAGAAGCTGGCTTACCTCTAATCTTTGTACCTGTCTTCTTGTGACAGTTTGGAGGGAACGTAGCTCTCAAGGAAGAAGAGGCCCCAAACACTGCTCCACTCTGTTGAAGAGAGCCAGAGAGAAGACACTATTCTCCCTCTCCTGTACTGCACAAGCAGCAAAAAAAAGTCTGGAATTTGGCTTCCTATAGCCAGAAGAAGGCATCTTTTTCCTTGTGGCTCTTTGTCTTTCAGGGTGGATTTGGCAGACCAGACTGCCTTACCCTTTCATTAGCTACTGTTACTATTAAGAAGGGCAGTGCTGGTTGAGTATAAAAATAATCACAATCCTTTGATGGGACGTGATATCTCCAATCAGCTCATTTCAATGTAACTGAAATATAAGCTGGAGTAGCCTGTAAGTCCCTTGCTGGATCCAAAATTTCCTTATATGTGAGCACAGCAAACAATCCTGTGAGACTAGATGCAGGATATCAGTTTACATCATGTCTCCTGAACCATTTCAAGAGGAATTTCAAGGGTTCCTGCCAATCTCATGAGAAGTTCTTGAAAGGTCTTGAAGTCATCAATTCTACTTCTACTTTCATACGCCTGCAAGGCTTTTGTTGCACAACTGTACATTGTTCACATGTAAAGAATCACTTGCATTATTGAACCTACTGAAACTACTAGCGCTTCATCTGGAGAACATGCTAAAGGCATTGGAGGGTCGTCTTCAACTTCTGCATTGTCGCATTCACTTAGCAGTTGCTGTTCCTCTGAAAGAACATTCTCCTCAGGAGGAGAAGTGAAGATTCTTTGAGGTTAAGCTGATGCCGATCAGATGAATTTAAACTGGAGCAGGTCAGAGAATAGATACTAGGATGAACCGGGGAATGAAGTGCCTGCCTTATGAGAGGAGACTGGAAGAGATTAGCTTGTTTAGTCTAGCAAAAAAAAAAAGGCTGAGGGAGGATATGGTTACTCTACAGAAATACATTAGAGGGGTAAATACCCAGGAAGGGTAAAGAGTTATTTAAGCTAAAAGACAAGATTGGCACAAGAACAAACAGATATAAACTGGCTATGAACAAATTCAGACTGTAAAGATGGTTTCTAACCATCAGAGGGGTGAGGTTCTGGAATAGCCTCCTAATAGGAGCTGTGGGGACAAACACCTTAGTTCGTTTTGAAAGAAAACTGGACAAACTTATGAGTGTGATTGTATGATCGTACTGCTTGTAATGGTAGGGGGCAGGGCTCAGCAGCGATCGGACTCACTTCTGGTTTATGTCTTAAGTTCCTAAAGGCTCATGCTTCAGAGTTACAGCTGGCCATCTGCAGGGGTCAGGAAAAGACCTTAGCCCCCTC